CCCTAAACCCTAGTAGTTGTGGGCGGTGAGATTCTGGTAGGTTCTGGGTTCGAGGCCTGGCGCCACCAAGGTCTACCGGTTTCGGGTTTAGTATTTAGGGTTTAGAGTGTAGGGTTTAGGGTTTGGAGTGTAGGGTTTAGGGTTTAGGGTTCAGGGTTTAGGGTTTAGGGTTTAGGGTTCAGGGTTCAGGGTTCAGGGTTTAGGGTTTAGGGTTTAGGGTTTAGGGTTTAGGGTTCCCTTTTGGACTTGGTTATTGGGGCTTGGTGGTTGAGCCGAGAGCCTGAGAGCATCAAGGGCCAGCTCTGAGGGTGAAAGCGCGCGAGAAAAGCCAGCAACGCGCGGCGCGCCCGACTCAAAGGCCCAGGGTTTAGGGTTTAGGGTTTAGGGTTTAGGGTTTAGGGTCTAGGGTTTAGCGTTTAGGGTTTAGGGTTTAGAGTTTAGGGTTTAGGGTAAACCCCAAACCCTAAACCCCAAACCATAAACCCTAAACCTTAAACCTTCAATCCATAGAGACGCAACATTGATAAACTGAGCCAAGAACAAATGCTTTTCCTGTTCAGAATCAGAATACTGATAATAATGACAACAATAATAATAAGAAGAATAATAACCGCAACAACAATAGCAATGGTAATATTAATAGTAATAATGCTCATAATGGTAATAATTTTAATATTCAAAACACAATAAGAATAAGAATCAAAAAGTTTCAGGCGCTGAGCTATCGCTCAACAGCGCGGTTGCTGGCTGAGCTTAGCCACTGATCGAGTCGATGGGTTCCAGCCGAATACAAACACAGAGTTTAGGCTTTAGGGTTTAGGGTTTAGGGTTTGTGTGTATTTATATGGAGATCATTTAGATCGCTAAGCCCGCTTGCGCTTGTCCCTTGTCCTGGGGTCTTGTTAAGGAAATTGAATTAATTTGCAGTCAGATGGCTACTTGGTAACCTTTATGGTAGCTCCACAGTGGTAGTTAGCTTGAGTTCCAAGGACCCAGTCTTGCTGTTGGGCTTTTGGGTGTGGTCCTGGCCGAGTGCCGAGTGCTCTGGACTTTAATGTTACGCGTGCACCTTTCTCCTACATGGAATCCGCAGGGTATGCCGAAGAAAGTGGAGGGCTGAGGGGTTTGGGGACGGTATCGATCCATGAGCTGTCTTCGGAAGCGCTTGTTATGGTCTGCAGCCGAATGGGCGACTAAGGACAGTTCGTATAAGAGGGAACATCCCAAGACGTGCACAATAAGTCTTTCTTGGTGCCATCAACTCGCTTGCCAGCACTAGAGTAAGGTCTCACCAGAGAGCATGTTTCCGTAGCCGTTCCTAGCATGTCAAAGACGACGTGTGACGATTGCTGCATGCTGCCTTTCAAGAAGTGCGCATGCCAATGGGAACAAAGGGCCTGGCACCGTGCTAGTACGGTGTCAAGCATGCTCCGAAAATGCCTCGCGTCCCACTTGACTGCTGGCTACGTCCTTGACGTATTGTGGCTGACCCAAACCCTAAATTTGATAAAAAGCCTCGAAACCCAAAAGTCCGTGCGGTTTATGGCCAGACAAAGATACCCCAGCTCTTGGCAAGGATGGCCAAAAACTTAGGGTTGAGGGTTTAGGGATTAGGGTCCAGAGCTTGTAGGCTTTAGCCCAGAGTCACTGTCCAGCGTGTAGCAACTTGCAGTCGAGACACTATGCCTTGAGCTTGAAGCTTTCAACATATCAAAGACTCCCTTGAATCCTAAGCCCGAAAAACCTCAAACCCCTAAACCCCTATACCCTAACCCCGAACCCTTGGGATGTTCCCCCTTATACTAACAGTCCTTAGTAGGGATTCCAGTACCCCCTATCATCGTCCCTATTAAGGACTGGTAGTACAAGGGGGAACATCCCAACCTAACCCCCTGAAAACTCCTGAACCCTGAAGGCCATCCGTGATCAGCAGCATATGGCTCCTGGTTCAAGATTTCTGGGGTACGCAGGTCAAGGGCTTGGGTGCTATCAGCTGAGGTTCAGGGTTGTTTAGGGTTTAGGTTTCAGGCTTGAAAGTGCTCTCTGTTTGGCTGTTTTTGTTGCATTGTTGGTTTAGGGTCCCATATGGTTTTTTGAGGCTTTGGGGCTTGGGATTGCTGATAACCTGTGCCGGCACTGCGTAGTGGTGGCCCTGACATTCTGGCATCATGCAGCCTGCGCTGCAGCTCTTCGTCCTCCTCACTGCGACTTGGCATTTGGCATTATGGGGTAGCTGGGTTCAAGGGGGGTAGGTGCCTAGGGAACCTTAGGGAAGCTTAGGGAGCCTAAGGGAGTAGTAGGGAGTATTTCGGGAACCTTGGGTTCCATACCCTCCTTGAACCCCCCTCCCTTAAGAACCCTATAATTCCAGCGTCGCGTCCCTTGGGGTGCGTGTGTTTGCTTCGGGCCTCTTTTCAATGTTTGGGTAAGGCGCCCTTGGTTGATTGTTCACTTGGCTGCATTCATAAAAAAAAGAAAGGGGCCCTAAACACGATGATGAGGTTCAGGCACTCTCGAACGCTGAGAAAGGGCGGGCTCTCGCACAGTCACCACAGACGCTCAAGGGAAGCCCCTAAACCCTAAACCCTAAACCCTAAACCCTAAACCCTAAACCCTAAACCCTAAACCCTAAACCCTAAACCCTAAACCCTAAACCCTACAGATTGCACAATTCGAATCCTTCAGAGGGGCTCGGGAACAGGCGGAGATCAGCCTTTCCATCCCAAGCGGGAAAAGCGGGAAGCTGGAGACCTGAGGCGATGCTCGCCTCCCCCACGCTTCAGCACGGCCTCTTGGCTGGAAGGGGGGATCCCCCTTTTTTTTGTTTTGGGGTTTAGGGGTTTAGGGTTCAGGGTTTAGGGTTTAGGGTTTTAAGGGTCTTTTGTGCATGGAGTTTTGGGGGTTTAGGGCTCAGGGTTCATAAGAACCCTGAAACCCCTGAATCCTCATCGAGATCTTCCGAAAGCCCAGGAACACCCGAGCTGCCAGAGACCGGGGCGCGGCCAGCTGGACCCGCACCCCGCGCCAGACCCGTCTCTGATGAGCTGCAGCACCGTGAGGAGAGGTTTAGGGTTTAGGGTTTAGGGTTTAGGGTTTAGGGTTTAGGGTTTAGGGTTTAGGGTTTAGGGTTTAGGGTTTAGGGTTTAGGGTTTAGGACATTCTGGCGGCTTAGTGGGTTTTTTGTGTCATAGTGTTGGGTAGCATGTCAGGGTACTTATAAACTCAATAAGGAAGAGAAGTTTAGTTGTTTAAGACTTTCCTAGCCATGGTCTAGTTGTCGGGTTTAGGGTTCAGGGCTTGGTGGTTTTCTGCACTTTGTGGGGCTTTCTTTTTGGGGGGTGCTACTAGTACACGGTTGAAGTAGTGCTGACGACAGCGAAGCACGAACCTGAATAACTCCCAAGTATAAACCCTGAATCCGCGCAAGGACTGCTCTGAGAACGGCCTCGCCAAGTTCTTCTGCCAGGTGCCTCTGAAACCAAAGCCAGTGCCGCCCTCCCCTCCCCCCCCTCTTCTCCCCCCTTCTCCCCCCCTCCAACCCTAAACCCTACACCCTAAACCCTAAACCCAGCGACCAAAAACCCCCAAACCCCCTGCCATCAGAAAATAGCTGCAGCTTGAAGGTCTCCGAAGCACAAGAGAAAAGAAGAACGAAGCCACACATTTTGACCGCAGCTTAGAAGAAAGAGACATATACTCACAGATCTTGGTAGCAACGGCAACGATAGAAGTGATCCATTCAACTAAATACGCCAGTAAGCAAACCTCACCTCTTAGAAGGAGTTATTCTGACTCCCTGCCTTGGGGCTAGCATCCCGACAGAAGGCATCGTTTGTTTGGCCCGAGGTTACCGGGGAGCCCAGTTTCCCGAACCTTAAACGAAAGCCGGAACCCCAAACCCCCTAAACCCTAAACCCCCTAAACCCCTCCCCAAACCCCCTATAAACCCTAAACCCCCTATAAACCCTAAACCCTAAACCTTAAACCCCCTTGAAAAAAAAACCTAAAAGCAGGGCGGAGCTCCTCTCCTCGAGTGGCTGACCATCTTGGGCAGCTTCGGCGCGTGCTTCAGCGCCGTTGCGTCTGGGCTCCGCTTTGCGGGGTTTAGGGTTTAGGGTTTAGGGTTTGGGGTTTAGGGTTTTGCGGGGTTTTTGGGCTGATTTTCTTGCTGGTTCTTGGTGGGAATCAGCAAGCTGGGTATGTGCATCCCGCCCTATATGATCACCCCTTATAGGATAGTATAGCGGCCCTGTGTCTCAAATTCCCCACTAAGAACTAGTATGTTTTGCTTTGCGTTTAAGTAGGGTTTCAGGGCTCGCGCAGCTGTAGCGTGTTTTAACACTTAGAGACTTAGAGATATTCAACATACCCCTTGGCCATACACTTAACAGAATTAAGAGGCATCGTAGAGTCCTTCCCTTTTGGGGTAGATGCTTAGAAAAAGCGTTTAGTTAGAGCTTAGGGTTTAAGGGATTTAGGGTTTTAGGCTTGGGTGGGGTCTTTAGGGTTTAAGGAAGGCATATGGGAACCCTAAACCCTAAACCCTAAACCCTAAACCCTAAACCCTAAACCCTAAACCCTAAACCCTAAACCCTAGTTCGGGGTTTCGGGGGTTTGATGTTCAGAAAAGGGTTGTTTTTGCCTGGGCTTGGGGCATCCCGAACACCCTCCACACCAAACCTCGGAACCTGTGGCCTTTGGCCCACAACTCCGTTTACATTTAGGGTTTAGGGTTTAGGGTTTAGGGTTTAGGGTTTAGGGTTTAGCTCGGAAACCTTTAGAGTTTGGGGTTTAGGGTTTTAATAGAGGGGTCGGAACAGTTACCAACAATCTTCCCTTCTGGTCCCTTTAAAATTAGACTACGTTGACCCCCCAAAAGCCTATTTTAGCTATTCAGGCTCCTACATGGGTTTGGGGGTTTGGGAGTTTAGGGGTTTGGACCCTAAACCCTAAACCCTAAACCCTAACCCCTAAGAGGTTTGGGTCCTTGGCCGTCGCAGGCATGGTGCTGCTGCACCAGATGCCGCCGGAGCTGGAACAATGGCTACCAGCTACTGGCCGACGCCACGCACGCTATGCTCCTCCTCTTCTGTGGCAGAGTTTAGGGTTTAGAGTTTAGGGTTTAGGGTTGAGGTGTTAGGGTTTAGGGTTTAGGGTTTAGGGTCTGGGTCATATCTTGGCGGCTTCAGCGGCTTAGGGGTTGTTTTCAAACCTCTTCTGGAAGGGGCTTGAAATCCTACCCTAAACCCTAAACCCTAAACCCTAAACCCTAAACCCTAAACCCTAAACCCAGTTGCAAGCCCTCTCTTAGACAAATATACGGGGGTTCGGGGTTGCAAGGCTCCAACCTTTAGCCCCCTAAGTTGAGGGGGCTGCTTTGCAATGGCCTTCAGCGGCTCTTGGGCTTTGTAGGGTTTAGGGTTTAGGGTTTAGGGTTTGGGAAGTTTAGGGTTTGGGAAGTTTAGGGTTTAGGAAGTTTAGGGTTTGGGGTTGCACTGCCTGAGGCTGGTTCTGCCTGACGACACCACGGTGAAGGAGGGAGACTGCGTGCAGTACCTCACTGCCGGCAGCAAGTGTCCCAGCTGGATTACGGGCTCTTTGGGGAGATATTGGGAGGGGTATAGGGTTTAGGGTTTAGGCTTTAGGCTTCCGGGTTTAGGATTAGGGTTTAGGGCTTAGCTAAACTCGACTGTATATCCTCAAAATTCCCCTAAGCCCCAACCCCAACCCTTCAACCGTTCGGGTCCGCCCGCAACCCTAAACCCTAAACCCTAAACCCTAAACCCTAAACCCTAAACCCTAAACCCTAAACCCTAAACCCTAAACCCTAAACCCTAAACCGGTCGGCCTTGGAGGCAAACCCTAAACCCTCTAAGGTACGAGGTCCTGGTCAGGACCATCGAGCCCGATGGGTACGGAGGCGGATCCCTGACCTTTGAGATGCCAAGCTGGAGCTCTCACAAGGCCGGGGTTTGGGGTTTAGGGTTTAGGAAGTTTAGGGTTTAGGAAGTTTAGGAAGTTTAGGGTTTAGGGTTTAGGGTTTAGGATTTAGGGTTTAGGACCTAACTTCAGCAAATCGCCCCGAGAGAGAGAGAGCTCTAGGATCCCCGCTCCGGGCTCAAGCCCTCGGAACACGCAGCCCATCGAACTTTGGGGGCTTTAAGGGTTTAGGGTTTAGGGCTTTAAGGGTTGAGGGGTTTGGGGGTTGAGGGGTCTAGAGGTCTAGGGGTCTAGGGCTGATAGGGTTTAGGGCTTCATGTGTTTGGGGGTTAGGGGGCCCTAAACCCTAAACCCTAAGCCCTAAGCCCTAAACCCTAAACCCTAAACCCTAAACCTTAAACCCTAAAGCCTAAACCCTAAACCCTAAACCCTAAACCCTAACCCTTAGGGGTTAGGGGGCCTTAGGGCCTCGAACATGCCCCAAGGTTGTGCTGCACCGAACTCTGGAGCAGATCAGCACGCGACAGCTTTACGCAGCTGAACCCGCGATTGGACATGAGCATGACGTTTAGGGTTTAGGGTTTAGGGTTTAGGGTTCAGGGTGTAGGGTTTAGGGTTCAGGGTTCAAGGTTTAGGGTTTAGGGTTTAGGGTTTAGGGTTTGGGGTTTGGGGTTTGGGGTTTGGGGTTTGGGGTTTGGGGTTTGGGGTGCGAAGTCCCCCTCCCGAATCGCCTCATAGCTCCTCCAACTAAGCCCTTCAAAGGGCTGGGTTTAGGGTTTAGGGTTTAGGCTTTAGGCTTTAGGGTTTAGGGTTTTGGGTTTTGGGTTTTGGGTTTTGGGTTTAGGGTTTAGGGTTTAGGCTTTAGGCTTTAGGCTTTAGGCTTTAGGGTTTAGGGTTTAGGGTTTTGGGTTTAGGGTTTAGGGTTTAGGGTTTGCCGAACCTCCCAAGCTCCTCAACTTACCACCCGCTTCCGAGGAAGGGGAGTGGCAAGGAAAGGCCCGGCCCTCAAACCGCCGAAGGATGTCTCCTCATTTCCCTGGTTCCTGGCTGTGGGTTTAGGGCTGATTTAGGGTTTAGGGTTTAGGGTTTAGGGTTTAGGGCTGAGGTACTCCCATGTTTTTGGCTGTGGGTTTAGGGTTGTGCAATCCTTCGCATTTTCCTTGCGTCGTTGGCCTTCTTTATGGAACCAGACACCCCCAAAACGCGCCAATCCTCAAAGGCCCCTCCCCACAACCAATCAGGGTAGAAGTATATCCTAACCTCTTCACCCTAAAACCTAATTAAGGGGGGGTGTTATTGCAGCGAGGGGATTACGTCGGGTTCTAGGACACGACAGAGCGCAATCATTTCACATTATACTTGTTTGTTTTGGTGTTGCGTATCATCACTGTTCTGCTTGTTGCCATATTCTTACTATCATTTCTCTTTGTTTTGCCGCAGGGTCGTGGGGTTTAGGGTCTATTTTGAGGTTTGTGGGCGCTTTCGGCTGAGGAGGTCCAGTTAGGATGCTCAGGGTTTCTGGAGTTTAGGGTTTAGGTTTAGACTTGGGGCTTTTTGGAGTTTAGGGCCAGGTTCTGTTAAAGTGTATGGCTGCAATACCCTAGAATTCTGGCAAAGTCCCTGGAGTGTTTATCAGGATCCGACTACACACCTAAACCCTAAGCCCTCAGCCGAAGGCCCTGCCTCCTCAACCCCTAAGTAGGACACTCAGCAGCAACAGCAAATTGCAGTTTAGGGTTTAGGGTTTAGGTTTTGGGGTTTAGGGTTCAGGGTTTAGGGTTACCATTCCCTCGAAGCGGTTCGTAGTCCCTTTCAGTCAACTGTAGGAGTGAAAAAGAGTCTGTTCGTCCGTCCGGTCTGTCTGTCTGTCACTTGTCACTGTGGCCGACTGAAGCTAGCAGCCACTTCGACGACAAGTGGCAATGCAAATGGTGCATCGATGCTGCCGCCAACGACTTCCACACGCCTTGCTGTCGACAGCTGTAAGGCTGCAAGCCGCAGCAGAGGATTGCAAAAGACATTCCAGCTCAATCGCTCTGGCCGCAAGAATGGCAAATCACTTCCCAAACTTGCCGAATTGTAAGCCCGCATCCACCAACCCTCACCCCCCAAAACACTGAACCCACCCAAAAACTCCAAACACCTTAAACCCTAAACAGCTAAACCTTAAGCCCTAAACCCTCAACCCACCCTCAGCCCCAAGGACGCTGAACCCCCCAATCTTCGAAGGTTTCCTGCGGCCGGGGCCACTCTTTTGGCTTCGGCCAGCCTTCAGAGGAGTTCTTCCTCAACGTCGAGGCCTTGGGGCAGCTCTTGAAGCCTTGCCCCTAAACCCTAAACCCTAAACCCTAAACCCTAAACCCCAAACCCCAAACCCTAAACCCTAAACCCTAAACGATGTATGTGATGCTGCGACGTTTCTTACCCTGGCATTGCAGGACACACCTCCGGGACCACACGAGGCGCGGGTTGCCAACTCGGTAAGCCTTTGGACCATCCTTTCTAAGATTCTTGGAAATAGAAACATGTTTCGAACTCGCTAGACAGCGGATCTTGGGGCCAGGCCCATGGGAATGTGAACTTGCTCTTCGCGCGAAATTTTTGGCTGCACCCTGAACTTGCTCTTCGCATTGTATGATATGCTCTGCCGTCTAAGATCGACGTTGGCATTGGCATTTGGCCTTTGATCCCCCTAAACCCTAAACCCTAAACCCTAAACCCTGAACCGGTCTTTAAGTGATGATTAGGGGTTGAGGGTTTAGGGTACATTCCCACTCAACATTGCTCTGGAAGCTCGCTCTTCCCGCATTCCCATGCTTTTGCTGTCACCAAGGTCTCTTTTTCAGAGTTTTTTGCGATACTGGTCGACTGTATCTTACGCTCCCAGGTCTCTCCTAATGTGCGATACGGTTAAGGGTTTAGGGTGTAGTGTAGGGTCCAGGTTTAGGGTTTTTAGGGGTTTATAGGGTATGTAGGGTTTATAGGGTTCAGAGGATATCTAGGGTTTGTAGCGCTAAGGGCTGCATGTCGCAGATTGGTGTTTTGTGAGGACCTGATTTGGGAGTATTTTTTCAGAGGTGCTGAGGGCCAGTTGAGCCCACCACACCCCCAAACCCTAAACCCTAAACCCCAAACCCTAAACCCAAAATTCCTAAACCCCCCCCCCCCCTAAAGCTCCCTCTCCCAAGCCCCCCAGAGTCCTAGAACCCGAAAGGAGCACCCTCAAGCACCCCAAGCCCTGAACCACCCTAAACCCCACCCTCAATCCTAGGATTCCCAAGAGCCCTGCAACTTCATAAAGCTGGGTTTGGGGTTTAGGGTTTAGGGTTTAGAGGGTTCCGGGATGCCGCAGCAGGCAAACCTGGAAGGTGAGAGCTTCCTCCGATCCAAGTCTTGGCATTAGATCTTGCTGCCCGGGCTTGGTTTAGGGATTAAGGTTTAAATTATTATATGAAAAAGAGGTTTAGGGTTTAGGGTTTAGGGTGTAGGGATCTAACATTTTTACATGCTTAAGGGTACTTAAACTCAGTAAGGAATAGAAAATTGAATTTTTAATACTATCCCAACCATTGAACTAGTTTAAAGTTTTAGGTTCTTTTGGTCGGACCTAAACTTTAACCCCTAAACCCCGAGCCCTGAACCCGAAGGTTTTTGAAGGGTTTCCCAATAGGGGGCTTCATGGGGTGTCGAGCTTTCGCGTTTTGCCCTCAACCTTAAAACCCTACAATATCGGGGTGTCAATAATCGAAATTAGAATAGGGTTTTGGGGACCATCGTGTTCGCAATTATTCCGACCTGTAGATCAAGCCGCGATACCCTAAACCCTAAACCCCAAACCCCAAACCCTAAACCCTAACCCTAAACCCTAAACCCTAAACCCTAAACCCTAAACCCTAAACCCTAAACCCTAAACCCTAAACCCTGGCCTTAAAGAGGCCATCTAGGGTTTTGGAGGCTGCCAGGGTGAAGCTTTGGTCTACGGCTGAGGGTTTTTGTAGTGCAGGGGTTTCCCCTGCACCCAAAAAGCCCTCAAAAGCCTTCAAGAGCCCCCACACCCAGGGCTTAGGGTTAAGGATTTAGGGTTTAACTAGGGTTTGGGGGTTTAGGGTTTAGGGTTTAGGGTTTAGGGTTTAGGGTTTAGGGTTTAGGGTTTAGGGTTTAGGGTCTAGGGTTTAGGGTTTAGGGAGACCGCTCGGAAGCACTGGGTAGCCAGCGGTGCGAGGATTTTTCAGGCCGCGCCTCAGTGTTGGAAGTGGCTTCCTTACGCTTTGGAGCCCACTGAGAAGCTGAACCCGAACCCTAAACCCTAAACCCTAAACCCTAAACCCTAAACCCTAAACCCTAAACCCTAAACCCTAAACCCTAAACCCTGTGATGGAACCGAAATGACGGTGGATGTAAAGAATCACAGCGACATTCGTCCTCAGAATCTTCCTCACAAAAAGGCTCACAAGACAGGAATCATGGTTTAGGGTTGGGGTGTTAGGGTTTCGGGTTTAGGGTTCAGGGCCCTCAACCATCGATGTGTCTTCTTGTCTTCTTCACGAGGGCCCTCCCAACATGTCCTCAAAGCGCCTGTGAGACGGGTCCTCAATCGCGCTTGCTGCAGTGCCGCACCCAGCTTGTCGGCCTAAACCCTAAAAACCCTATAAACCCCAAAAAAACGCTATAACCCTGTGTTCTCCCCTATAAACCCTATAAACCTTGTTCTCCCCTATAAACCCTACAAACCCTACAAACCCTAGAGACTCCTCAAATCTGGGAGCCTTCTGCGTTCCGCCTAAACTCTATGGCCCGCCTTGTTGTGGACGAGGGGCCGGTGTAGGGATAAGGGTATGCGCAAAGAAGCATCCGAACATAGAGCAGCCCCCCCCCCAGGTAAACGGCCACTTGGGGCCCATGGCCTCTTCTAGGTTGGCTTTTAGGATGTTTTTTTTTGTATTTTCCTTATTAGGGTTTATAAGGGACCTTATGGAATCTACTTGTTGTCTTTTCAAAAAGGGTTAAAACCCAGCGCCAGTCGTGCAACCAGCCACCTCAAGCCGCTCGCAGCTTCTCAGGGGCTC